CAGATGAGAATAGATCGCAGAATGGAGAGGAGACCGGATGATATGAAGAGGAGATATATATGTAAATATAGCCAGCACATCCAAAGTCCGAAACGCGCCAGCCGCGTGTGGCCCACATCTACATAGACCCCGGAATAATCGGTGTATTACGATATATACGCACATCTATAGATGCTCCCCCGTGATATATGTATTAATAATGTAAACAAGCGCAGGCAACAAGTTTCAATAACCCCGAATGCCGAAATAAATAAATAGATTATGCGTCGAAAACATTGCGTGTGGTTAGTACGGCAAGCGATGGGGCATGCCACGAGGCCATTGTCGTGGGATAATTACCATCGGCGGTCCTAATGGGTGCCAGGATCCCACAATGAAAAAGCCATTAGCCCCAGAGAACTTTCTTCCGTTGCACAATCTGAAATCGGTGGAGAACTCAACTCCGGTAGCCGCCGTCGCTATAAACTTTGTTTTCCAGCGATTTACGATATGATATAGCTAGAATTTGGCTGGGGGATATGGGGGGTTCTATTGCCGCTATAAATGCGCATTATCTGACCCGGCTGGGCGCTTATCAGGTGGTCGGGGCCAACTTTATTGGTACCCCCGTTGTGTTTTATGGCCTCCAACCTGTGCACTTGAGTCAGCTGTGCAAAGTATTCGACGCGGATTCGAAGGGAATTCCGAAAGGGATCACCTCAATTGCTTTAAAAATAGTTACAATTGGTTTTCATTATCGCCCCCGGTCGACTGTTTAATTAGAGATTCCACTGGGCATCTTGCGGTTTGTTTTTTATTGCGCCTCGGAATTACGTAGAAGTAATTACAATTATGAGAACTTTTTTATCTACACCTACATGGGACGCCGGGGCTGTAAGAGCTGATAATTAACCTTGTTCAATAACCCCTTTAATAACAAAATCAGTCAAATTGCTGATAACTTACTCAAGCTTTGATTGACTGATAAAGATCAATAGATGTTGTTAAAGTTTTGAAACGCGCTGTACTCATTAGGAGGGTCTTAGGTAAAATATTTTAGTAACTAATTAAACTTGAAATGCTGAAGGTCCAAAGTTAAATTTGTGTTTTGGAAGTGCTAACAATTCGTCAATTATCATGAACTTCTTAAGTTCTACAGTGAATAAACATATCATGAAATACTGTTAAACATCAAAGGTATTCTTGATTCTCAGATTTATTGTTAAGTAAGAGTATTAGGTTTAGATAAATTATTTCTTTCCTGGACCTTCAATGGTTAGGCGGTTGAAAACTTTCATGAAATCAGTAGTATAAACAGAAATACGATTTGCGGGTTATTCGAAATTCCAGAGTTGTTATCATAAGTTTCTCACTTACAAACAAATTTTTAAGACACAACATAAATAAAGTTTTATACAGAATTATCTTGCTTACTCAAAATTCCTACTCTTAGCTTACAATATTAGGCCAAAATGGTATTGGTTTTCTGGTAAATATTTAGAGCAATCCCAATACTCATAGCATAGATGTATGATTTAGCATTGAACAAGTTTCCAATTTCTCAGTTTATTTTCTCCATAAATTCCAGTCTGTCCCGAGAAATTTATCGCAGCTGGCTGCTATTTATAGCATAGGTGCGGAAAGTACCCCACCACCCCAATATCGTTTTCCACTCCCTGTCCGCTGCTAATTAAGAGGAGACTACAGTTTGCAGTCAATAAACAAGCTACGTCGCAATTTGCATTAGTTTTCAATGACCGTATGTGGTTGGGATGGGTTGCAGTTCTACCTTTGGGGTAGGTTGCCCGGCCCTTTCAGAGCCCCTTTATCCAAGGTGTCTCCATAACCAGAGCTCTGTAAATAGAATCCAAGTAAATTGCAGCGGGGAGTTGAGTCACACAAAGGGGTACCAGGTTCTTGGGTCGCGAGTTCTAGGTACTTCGGTTTGCAATTTGCCATAAGAGACCTCGGGGCCCGACTTATCAGCAGTCTACCCATCTATAAGTAATCCTAACGATGGAAACTCAATCAAAGTATAACCGTAATTGTTCAAGAGTCAGGGGTACGTCAATAATGTCAACTCAAAAGAAATTGACTCAATCTAGAAATTGTGATCGTTGTTTATATACCCTTATGGTACTTTAAAACTTGTACTTTTAAGGAGAATTCAAGACTTTCCTACAAACTACAGTACAGATAAATTAAAAAAAAATTTAACATTTATTTTATTTTTATAATTTGGTTTTATTCACAAATTGTTTTGAAATTTTTTTGAAATACTTTAATTGGTTAGCCATGACAACAGTGCTAGTTTTGTATTTTAAGGTTAAAATATTATATCACAGCGGCTCCAAATTATTAGTTCCAAGAGTATACTGATTGCTATGTTATCGTAATTGGTGTGGGCACTTGCTTTTTATTCCCATATACACCATTCCCGCTCTCGCAATTCAGAGGCTGCGACGCAATTGAAAAGTTTTCCGTTTGGAAATTCACTGAACCATTAAACCAAACTTGCGGCGCCACCTTATTTCAACCGAGACCGCAAAACATATCCCATTTCAAAGGGGATAAGGAATTTGATTTGAAGGCATGACCACTAAAGTGACTACTCTTCTGACTTTCCATCCAGAATTAGAATGTTTAGCTTTGCATTTCATCTTCACAAATCCGTGATAAGCCAGAAAAGAGCTCTAAACGTACTTAGCCGTATGAGGAGGCTTGGTTCACACTTCCGGGGAAATCTCTCACAATCTTTTCTTAAGTCCTTTGTCTACGGTCTTTTATTTGCTCACTCGGTCTAACGCAATCCTTTTTAAGTGCTGGCAGACAAATACATAAACGGGTAAGAAAAACAAAGACTAACACGTTATCCTTTAGTTTCAAGTGCAATTGAATTGAGAAAGCCTTTCTCTCAGCGGCAAATTACAAAATGCCGTGCTGATTACATAACTGTTATGTCAGGAGAGAAAACCGGGTGGTGAAGTGGGCGAGAGAGCTTGGAGAGCAAACTTGGAAGCTGCCACCCACGCAAAGAGAAGAGAAAGTGTAAATGTCAAAGGGCAGTGACGTAGTAGGGAAAAACTTGGCCGCCTACGCTTATAACATAGCTACTGGAAACAATTTATCGTTATAGTTTTTTATTTAAATACACATGAGTACACTTACTAAAATTAAAATAATACCAAACATTTTAATTTTCAAATTCAATTAAATTAATATTTCAATTAAATTGCTTTTAATTGGAAATTTTTTTAGGTAATCAAATTTAAAAGAAATATAAATATTTTAAGTTCAACCTATTTTTAAATAATTTCAAAGAATGGAGGAAAAAATTCTGTAATAGCTTTTTTTTCTGTGTAAAAAAGGACACTCAAATACAAAGACAGACACACAGTAGCTGTCATTAATTTTGATGCGGCAATTAGGCAAAACTATTTGCGGGATTCGGTGGCCGCAGCCTTTCAGCTGCCACTGTTCTTGGCGAGAGGGAGATGGGATACGGATACTGTGGTGAGGGGAGGAGCAGTGGAGCGGTGAAGAAGAAATCACTGCCATGGCCCTTCGGAGCGGATCGGAGCGGAGCTAACCTTACTCTGACCTTGAAGCGGGAGAGAAGAGCAGCTGTCTGCATCGCACATGTCTGCAGTGGAGCGAAAGGGGGTGTAGCAGGGGCAGGGGCAGGAACAGGGGCAAGAAATAGCGAAACAAGATTCACGAATGAAGCACAGCCCATAAAATAGGCAACGAGCACAGAAGGGGCGGCAAAAGGGGTGGGGGCGCAATCGAGAAGAGAACTTCACTTCGGCAAAAACAAGAACGAGAAGCTTGCGGCAGGACGGCAAAGCACAGTCGAGGACATTTTAATACGTTCATAAGCTTAGATTAGACTTCTTCATTTCTTAATTTATATTTTATTTAAAGTTATCCTGTTTTCTATTTTATTTGATTTTCACCTTTATATTTTTTTAGAGAAAAAACTTTCAAAGTGTGTGAAAACATTTTATTTTAATTTTAATGTTTAAGTAATGTTATTAATATTGTTCTTGTTTTAACAAAATTATAAGAAAATAAAAGAACAAAAATTCCTACCGTGGACTGTTTACATTTCAGGTGATGCCTAAAGTCACAAATAAATCATTAAAATTTAGTTAAAAACTTTATCACTTCAAAGCAATCAACTGTTTTTAAACCGAAACTACTGTAAACAAGTTATAAAATAACAAGCAGCAAGCATTAAAGAAAACACTTCCTTGTCGTAGATCAATTATTTTTAGAGTCCATAAATCACGAGCTTAGACTGCAGCTAGGTTTATGGCCCCCACTGTAAGTTCTGGTGTGGGAGCTTCTGCTCTCCTGGCTGTTCTTCTTCTTCCCCCACTCCCTCCTGTGTTTGTGTGTGTGTGTGTTTCTGTGCGCCATGTAAAATTTATTGATTTTCCAGAGGAACTCCTACGGGAATTGGGGATATATAGAGTGGGAAATAGGGGAGCCCGAAACCCTTATCTCTTCTCCCTGCAAATTTTTTCTTATTTCCTCAACTACTTGTGAATATTTAGCACGATTGGTTTGTATGTGTGTGTTAAGTAATTTGCATATCACATTCTTCTAAGCCACACGAAAAGGAATTCCAAACATTTTTTGTTTAATTTACTTTTAACTTTGCTGATAAACCGATTCACTTTGCACCAATTTCCGAATTTTGCGCTTTCCACAAAACCAACTCAGAGTTTTTCACTTTTCAACTGGCTTTTAGCACTTCCACTTCGATTTGGCTATGGATTTGGATTTATTTTCTGTTTTCCGCGTGTTCAGAATACGTGCGCTTTTTTCAAAAGACCGAATAAGAATGCGAGAATAGGACGAAAATCGCAACGGTTTAGAAACAATACGTTACGTTTTAGTAAGGACAAGAACCCTTATTGAATTGACAAACCCTACGCCGCATCCCCTAAGCTGGCTGCGATGGCTCGGTATTTTATCTTCAGCAAGCTAGTATTTTTTAGTATTTCGACAAAAGGTAATACTGTTTGATACATGTGCCGGTTGACAGCAAAACTTCAGATAAATTCAATCGAAGCGTCCAGAAAACAAACTTATTTTACCTGCCACCAACCAGTGCGCTTACTCTCTATAAACTAAATATAAATAAACTACAATGTCTGGCGAAGAAGGACAGTTCGACAATATTCTGCTGGCCGTGGCCGAAAAACATCGGGGCGGCGTGCCCGAGGTAAGGAAAACAATAACAAAGACCTCGACTTCTTTGTATCGCTTTTGTTTAATCATGGTTTATTTTTGAATATCTCATTCATATATGTAGTTTCTGGGCACTTTGGCCAGTTTTCTGCGCCGCAAGACCGACTTCTTCACTGGAGCCAAACAGGCAGAGTGGGAGAAACTCCTGCTGGATGTCTTCACCAAGGAGTCCAAATTGGCGATCAGCGCCCACAATGAAAAGCTAAAGACTCGCGAGGCCGCCCAGCGGCTGAAGGACGAAAAGAAGCGGGCCGAAAGAGAGGCCCGCAAGAAGGAGATCGACGACAACAAAATATGTGATATCACCGATGAGGAGGCAGCGGCCATCATCAAGGAGGAGGAGGTCAAGTATGTTGGATCGTTAAGAGATCGTTTACTAAAGTATCTGCGTGGCTACTTGTCCAAAATTGTGATAGAACCTACAGTAATCCACCTACATTTAAAACCGATTTAATTCTGGAACTGTATTTACTTAATACTCCATATTTATATTCCATAAACTCACAATTTCCGAAACACTTTTGATCTTTAGTGATATATAACCCTTTTTACATCTACTGATATTCCTAAATCTTTTCCAGAAAACGTCAGCAGCTGCTGGATGGCGCTGGCGGAGAGCCGGCTGCCCCAAATCGCGATGACATCTCCAAACCCATCGAAAAAGTCGACGATGAGACCGAAAAGGGCGAGCTGGGCAAGCTGATACCCAATTCGGGCAATGGTTGCACCTTGGACAAGTACGCCTGGACACAAACTCTGCAGGAGGTGGAGGTAAGTCCGCTTAGGGGTGGCCCCCATCCACTTTTTCTCCCAGGCTGACCCAGTAAGGTGTTGTCATGGCTATAAAGTAGCTAGCCATGCTAGTTATACATTTTATTTTGGTAGGAGAAATTTATCAAAATATCGCAAAAGATATCTGAACATTTTTTTTAATTTTTAAGAAAGAATTAGCATTTTTTAATTAAAAATTTTGTAATTTAGAAGCTTTCTTGTGTAATTTTCTAGTAATCTAATACAGAAAAAACACTTCTTAAAATATTTGTCTTAAACCCCCGCCAAATAACTTGGTTTTTCTTGCTAAAAAACCAACATTGCCGGTTGCTAGGCTGCGGTCATAGCTGAAAAACCCCGAAAGACCAGGCCATTGACCTTCCGACAGGTGTGATTCACCAACCCTTTGTGTACAATTATAAAATTCACTTTATTAAACATATCACAGGGATAAATAACTTAATTGCTAACCAGAAAGTACAGCATTATCCGATCCGATCCGCTCCAGATCTAGTTCCTTGTATGTTTCTCTGTCTCCATAGCATAGCGCGCTTAATACTAATGAAATTTCCCAGCTTCGACTGACTCGACTCTCCATCCAAACAATCGTTAAATAAATAGCTTACACAACTAGCGCCAAGACGACACGATAACAATATTAATAATAATAATAATAATAATAATGGGGGGACAAAGACAATACAATAAATAATAAACTAATTGGCTAGGCAGAGGTATTCGATCCTAGCTCTTGGGCATGTCGCGGGCGCGCACTGTAAAAGAAAGGAAATAATCATTAAAATCGCATTCGATTCGCTGGTCATTTCAAAGAACTCACTCTCCAGCGCATAGACCATGCCCATGATGAGCAGCATAAAGATGGTGCTCATGCTCACTATCAACACGGTGACCTGGCGTCCCCGATCGCAGAGGCCGCGCTTCGGTTTCTTGGGCGGACCGCCCTCTCCGTTGACCATCGTAAAGTGCATGGAGCTAGCGATGGACACGGTGTCCAGGTCTTTGGTTTTCACATACTGCAAATTGGGATCCACCTCGGTCGCCGGCTGCTGCTGGCCCTCGATGGCGATTACCGCATCCCTGTTGCCGCTCGTTGCCAGCGTCAGGTTGGCATTGTAGTTGGACGCCGAGGGATTGCTGGGCGGCATCAGCATCTTGTTGTGGCGCTCCTGCTTCTTGTGGATCTCCGCGAAGCGTTCCAGATTCGCTGCCGTTAGCAGCAGTGAGCCGGAAGCAGCGCTCTGTACGATTCGAATGAAAAGAGGAGAATGTTTGTTGAGTCACTGTTCGTTTTTCGGTTCGGTTTGGTTATGGTTCTCCAGAACCGGAGCCAGCGTGGGCTCGGCTTACTCACCCGTGTGCTGTTGTTGCTGTCGCTGGAGCCCTGCGAACTCCTCGATCCCCGCTTGGCGGCCGCCAGAACCGCAGCCGCCGCCGCCGCCGTAACAGCAGCACTTGTATTATTGTTGTTATTCATATGGCTACTGTTGCTGGGCGAACTGCGCTGGTTGAGGGTGGGCGGATTCGAGTGCGATTTGTTCGAGGACTTTGAGGAGCTGGCCGAACTGATGGCCGAGCTCGAGGAGGAGGCCAGCGAGGCGCGTGGAATGTGCCAATAGTCCTGCATCTGAAAGGAGTGGATATAGTACATTAGAAATCAGAAATCATATCATGTTATCAATTTTATAAGCTACTTTTGGGATAAGTTAAAGACGTTAGGGTTTAAAATCTGGACTTTTTCCCATACCATCTTAAGTGCCATTATATAAACTTTTTTAGGGTTTCTGAATATTTTATTCCCAAAATATACATATAATTGCCTTAGTTATTTTTATAATTATATCAGTTTGAGTAAACTCTATGAAGAATAGTGCACATTAGGAAATGTAATAATTTTAGTACATCCTGTGTATATAGAATTTATTTTGTAATTGGTGAGGTCAAGAATGCTGATCTACCCAATAGGAAAAAGAGTATGTTTTTGCACCTAAACCTAAGCTCGTGATCGTGCCACGATCTGGCACATCCGCTCTGCTCCACAATATCTGCGCTACACATTTTTATGTCTTTCCTAGCCCCCTGCCCCTGTTCTCTGATCCCCTGTTCCTGTCGCTCGATGGTGCTAGCGTCAGAAGAAATCCAAATCCAATATACAAAACCTGAACTTTCGAGTTGTCTTTCGGCTTGTCTTTGTTTTGCATTGGCTGGCAACTTGTTTGATATTTATGGTCTCTGGTCTTGGTTGGCTAAAAGCCTGATTTGTATTTATTATAAATTCGGCTAGTCGACAGTTTTTGTTTTTTTTTTTTTTTGCTTTTTGGGCAAGCTTTTATATCTCCGGCCTTTCTCTTTAAATGGCTTCGCCGATTGTTTGGCTTTGACGTAATTGTGGCAATCAATTGTCCTCCCAATAAAAAAAACATATAAGAATTCTATTAAATTTTTCCTTAGCACAAAAGCTGCAATTCGAGTTCGTGCCTTCAGTCTTTTGTTTGCCTGGGTTGTCCGAGATTTTTTGTGTGCTTTGTGCGTTTGTTTTACACAGCACAGAAGTTAATAAATTTGTTCGTGCTGCTTCTTGCGTTTTATTTATTGTAAATATTATTTAGGCATGCGGAAGTCTTATCACTCATTATTGATTCAACTTGATTGGCCAGTTTTCGATTCGTTTTTTCTTCACACAGCGTTATTTTTGGCTTACTTAATGTGTCGCCTGGCGTCGTTACTTTACTTACATTTCTTGATTTGTAATTTTCTGTTTGTTTTGTTCTCGGGATTTGTTTGATTATTACAGCAATTTATCACACACACAATTTAAGGTAATTAGTATCACAATCTGGAGTATTTTTAAGCAGAGTCTCGCTCCGGTTGTCAGTCTCTTTAATTAGGGTTTTACGACGTGTATAATTTATTTAAATGCGGCTCGCGAAACACTCAGCGTATCAGGCTGCTGTTTGGGGAAACCGATTCGATTCTTTTTCGCAATTCTCCTTGCTTCTCAAATGGCGCTATTCTCCTTCTTCTCCTCACGTCTTCTTCTCGTAGCGAAGAATTCTTCAGTGCGCGTGTCGCCAAACAGAACCGATCTAAACGGCCTCAAGAATCGAACTGAAGCGAGCTTAGCGGCTAAGTCGGGCTCACAGGTAAGATCTCTGCTCACCTGAGTTCTGCCCACCTGGGCAGAGGCGCGGCGTCGCTGTCGCTGCCTCTGTCGACGTGAGCTGCGCGATGCGCAAACCTTTTCGAGTGTAAGTGTTTGTTGTTGCTGGCTTTCTTGCCGGATTTTGCATGTCATAACATTTCGACGGTTCTCATTTGTTTGCCCCGAGCACAGTAGTCGCTCGTAAATTGAGGAAAGCTTGAAACATTTTCTTAATTTGTTTGCTGTTTTTAAAAGTGATGTTCATTTGAGTAGATTTTGGATCATTGTCTTTAAAATATGGTTAGCGTTTCAATTCAATCGAATTTTAATAAAATCAGATGTTCGACAATTTAAAGTTTTTGACATGTTCCCCTCCATAATTAGCAATTTATTAGAAACAATCTTTTTAATAATAATTTAAACTATTTTAGCCAAAAACATTTTTTTAAATTTGTATTAAAATATATAAGTTGTTGTTAAATATGTTGCTTTAATATAATAAATGGTTTGTAAACATTTTGTAGAAAAATTAAAAGTTATATAAATTTAATTTTTTGTCTATTATAAGGTTTCAATTCTTGTTACACAGCACCCACTGTGGGCATATTTATAGCTTAACGATCGGCAACTTCTTCTCTCCATTCTTTGGTTTCGATGATGTTTGATGGCTTTGTTGCCGGCTTTGATGTTTGGACTGCTCGCCTTGACTTGATCAGCTCATCAAGTGATTTGCCTACTTTCTTTTGACTATTCTTTTTTTAGCCTCCCGCCCTTTTGCTCATTAAGCTGCAATTTGTTTTTTTTTTGTGCTGGGTATTTCTGATTCTTTAGATCTTCAGTGAAGGGCCCTTGATCGTTTTTGGCGTGTGGGCGTTTTCTAGATCCGTTTCGGCGGCCCAGAAATTGAAGTTTGATTGCGGGGAAAACCTAATTCTAATTTAATGTTAACTTAATTAAGGGCAAACCTTGACCACCTTACAGGCGGCTCCGCCCATTTGCTGTAGCATCGTTCCCAGAGCCCATTAATGTTTGATTAATACGTGTTCCATTATTAAATCAGCGGTTTATGGTCTTATAAATAATATGGCCATTATTTAAATGTCCTAAAGTAGAAATAAGCAAGTCTATTTTTGGTTAATTTCGGATTCTGAGAAAGCATTTAACGTCAATGATCCACACAAAAGCTTTATATCAACGCGATCAAAAATGCTAAAATATTGAATCGATTAATAAATGTGAAATTTGAAACATGATCTTAGGTGGGGATGTACAAGTTTTCAGCTAGCTCCCAATCAAGTTTTCTTTTACAGTGGTTTTAGATTTACAATACGGTAAACATGTTTACTATCTTGAAAAATAAAGAAGATTCGAAGGCTTTTCTGACGTCGATTCAATGAGTCATCAGAAAATAACTTCTTTGAGATTTCCACCAATAAATTATAGTTCTGAATAACCCCATAAAATGTTTGCGTTTCTCTTGGCGGAATTTGTTAAACAATTTGCCAAAAATCCCCAAAACGATTGTTATTGGCTTCGCATAGTTGTTTGCCTAATCTAACACAGATCTCATATTATTATACCATTAGACTTATAACGCCCTGTGGGAATTGGTTGGGCAAACAATAAATTCCCAAAGATCGCCAACATTTCTATTACAAATTTGTTTGCTTTCGGTTAATTCGGAGAGTTCCATCTGTCATTCTCGGTAGCAAAAGGCAACAAATGTTTCTAATTTTTTTCGGCCATAACTTTTGTTGCTTCGTTTGCTGTCGAGCATCTTGTTATCACCTTTTAAGTGAGACAAGTGAGTGGCCTGCCGCCAGTTCCAACAGTTTTTTATGGGCTATTCTCGCTGCCATCTCGCTGGTATGGGTGAAGTGCTGGCCGAGTCCGGTCGATTTAATCAGCGGAGAGTTGACAAAGATTACCTGACACGGCCAGTTACCAGAGCAGTGGCAATGGACTCCGCCGAACGCGAATCGCATTAGCAACAAAAAAATATATATAAATCGAAAGAGAATCACTTGAAAGAGATCACTTGAAAAGGCGAAGATTGAGGAACGTCGCCACTTAAAGAGATGGGATGACGGCGAATGGGAGCCCAACACTTGCTATAGATCGCCATCCGAACTATTCCGAGACATTCCCCCAATAGAATCAACAACATTCACCTCACCTCATCGCGAAACACCATATAAAACCGAAGACAAACAAACGACGATCTTTTTTTTTTACTTTTCATGCATACAATTAAGAATGCAAAATAGTTTCCAGTGACGCCGATGACAAACGGACGGATCTTATGTGCCCAGCGATTTCTGTTCCATTTTGGGTGACAACAATTGGGATTAACAAAAAAACCAATATCTGTGAGAATCGATAATTTTGTCGTGGTAAACGGGGAAATCCCTTCGAGCTATATGGATAGATCCGTTGACGTTTGCCACGCTTATTTGTGTGTGGCCCGCGGCCAATATTTCTCTGATTGTCGCTATTAAAGCTTAATTTTCGTATAGAAAACGTTTTGAGTATTCTGCCTCCAGGGGGTATATTTAATAAACAGAATCTTAAGTTAATGCCGAATTCCATGCGAAATTCTTAAAAACTTGACTCACTCGCCAGCAAGCAGGCGGAAATACTAAATAAATGTCTTATAGACACCTCATCACGTAAGAGCATTACGTATCGGTTCTATATACAATTGAGTTTATATTGCCGATTTCGCCAGCTTCTAATTGCGGGTTGTATAAACGAAACTGATCTTTTATTTGTCCGTTTCACACCTGTTTAGCTTATAAAACCTCTTAATGGGTTTCTCCTATAAATCACGCTAAAGTCAACTTTGGTGGGGTTCAAACCCAAACAAAGTGCGAACAAAGAATTCCACCTGACAAAGCCTTTGAGTAAATTAACCGCTTTTAAGATCCGTTTTCGGTTTCCTGGTGAAGAATTTAATATTGAGATCAGGTCAAAATACATAGAATACTTTTCACTTGATTTATTTTATGTATTCTTAGATCTTATATTAGTTTTCCTAGAAGTTTTACTAATTTAACTTTGATTTAGGTAATTTATTAACATGGCATGAAAATAAATTATCTGATCTTGTGTATAAAAAATATGCAAATATTTTACAAAACGATAGAAGATAAATCAACTTGTAGGATGTAGGGAAAAGCAAACTAAATGTAAATCCTAAACTTCCCAAATTAGCTAGATATTAAAAACAGGCTTACATTTTTAAAGCTATCGAATATCTACGCTAAGTCTCATTTTCATTATACTACTGTTCTCGAAGCTTCTTAACATTTTTTCTTCAGTTTTTTTTTAATTTATGGAAAAACCATTCAAGATGACAGTTTCTGTTCTGAGCTATATCAAAAAGATCTCGTTTCTCACCAAAATTGAAGTCTTATAGAGTTCATTATAATGGGATATCCCCCGAAATTGACTAGGTTAACCGGATAGAGTTTTCAGTATCATTTGTTTTGTAATCCGCTTATGGCGCACAACAAATGGCTACCAGATCGATCTCTCAAATCTCATTTACCATGCAAATGTCAATACGGATTCTATTGTACCCACTCGAGAGCTCATTGTACGCCGAGTTTTTGGGGGGATTGGATTGGAGTAGAGTGGAGTGGAGCGGCGTTCCCAATAGGAACTAGTTTCAGATTTAAACGCAAAACAATTCTAAATGGAAAGGAATAAAAAAGAATTTGCCACGCTCGATTTTGATGCCATCTCCCTCTGTTTTGAGATGTTTAGGGGTCCACTCCACTTCTGGCCACAAATAAGTCAAGTTTAAGCCGCTTTTAATGAGCTGGCAGTGGGCCCTCGTAAAGATAAACACTTGGGATAAAGGTTAATTTAGAAATAGTTAATTACAAATTTATGTTTTTCTATTTTACTACAATTTATTGGCATTTTACCAATTGAAAAGGGTTTTAGAATTTTTTTCTAAACCTGAATTTTTGATTATCACTTTATCACTGTACCAAGTTCCTCGGACGACTCAGCTGTTTTGTGTGATAACATTATCGAATACAAAACACTCGGCAGATACACACTTCTGAGCACTCGACTCCATCAGCAAAGCTAGTTTTTTACCGATTTTTGTTTTGTTTAAATGGTTGGTTTGTTGTTTCTACGCCACTTTTGTTGTTGCGACCGTTCTTTTTTTCCTATTTAATTTTTTTGGTGGTGCCTGGCACCGGATCGCATCTTTTAGCATAAATTATTCGCGGCTAGATATTTAAAGAAAATGAAATGCTGTTCAAGTTTTATAGAATTAATCAGCGGCGGAATAGCAACAAATAGCAGTTTAAAACGGCAGCAGACAAAGATGTCTTTCACTTTACAGAGAGAGAAGCGGGCGAATTGGTGCAAAACTCTGGCGATTTGAATGATCGATTAACTGGTTGTCGATTTAACGTGCAGCCAGGCCTTAAGAGGCATTAACATTAACATTAGGATTGGCCCGATCCGATCGATTTGCATAAAATCGCCCACTGTCAGACGATTCGTCTGCGATTCCGCTCTCACTCGGATAAGTGTGCCAAGTCTCGTGCTTATTTTTTCCTTTTCCCATTTTATTTCTGCCTTCATCGCAGTCATCAATATTTGTTATTATTCATTAATTCATTCACGACACCTTTTACGCTTGTCTGAACTCAAAAGCGAACTCTGACTTTGACTGGCGGTGACTCTTGAGCTTTGTGTTTACCTTTTTGGCGGCACAGCTTCATTTTCATACCTCATATTTTGCCCAGAGTCTATTGTTTTTCCACCAGCCTCGGCATTTGCATGGGTATCCATCCATCTGTTCACCTGTTCAGGTGATTTAATGGCCGTAGGTGTCTGCTAGTCTGCCGACTGGTGATTTGTGTAAATTTCCTAGTTTCGAGCATAGTGTTCTTTGAGTTGCTATTTGCATAACCTTCAGCAATGCAGAATGGGTTTTGCTTTGAAGAAGTCTCTGCGGGTCCCTTGAGAAAGCCTACATTTACTTAATTAATTTTACACAAATTCTGGTTTCAAAAACAAAGTCAAGCATTCACATTTGGGAATTTATTAGAATGTAATAAATTCCTTTCATCTGATTTCAGCAGCCCTTTTTATAAATTCTAAACAGAATGTACAACCATTCTATTTTTTGTTGGTCCCTACATCGTTTTGAAATGTATGTGAAAGGCAAAAAAAATCAGAACGTCATATTTTTTCTGCACAATAATTGGACCTTTGCAAGAATTCTTTTCATATTTCTTCAGCTAAATTACTGCACTGAATTTTTTTATAGGTTTTCTGTTGCCAAGCTTGTAACTTGACGTATTGCCCACGTCTTTGGATATTTTTTACGACTCTCTGAGGCTATTTTTGTAGCTGCCTTACATCCGCGTACGATTCAATGCTTCTTTCAATTGACATCCGCTTCAGTTTCAGCTTTTGACACATTTTTTTTGTAAACGCCGATCGCTGCTGATGAAGCTGCCACCCACATGAACTGCGATCTGTGCGCTTCTGTTGACACGAGCCGCGTGCTCCGAGCAGAAGAACTCCAAGTGCTTCTACCTTGGGTGACTGCCCACACGAATGCCCCCCACTAGATGATAGTCTACAGACTATCGTGAGCCGAACGAAAGCGTCCTTGGTTCAGTTGGATGCGGCGTCGTGAGATTTAAATTAAAGGCTTACCTTACCCCTCATTGTCTCTGCCACATGCGATTCGCTAATTGATTGCACAGCCAGTTGTCTAATAACTCTGGGCCTTAATTATGCTGCGAGCTAATGGGAAAGGTGTTAATGTATGCATGTATCCGTGCGATTTATAATTAATGGCCAGCCGTGGCACATAATTCTAGACGCCAGTGTAATTGCTGTGAACTTGGCCAAGCAGCCACATAAATCCATCGGCAGGTTGCTTCACTTCTTTACACGGAAAGAAATGTGAGATAACTTGGAAGGCAATATTTAAAGCAATAAATATATAATTTATTGGAGTTCTATATAAGTTTATAAATAATTATCTTGAAATATAAGTTCAATTTTGAACTTTTTATAAATATTTTAGGAATTTATATTATTTCAACTTTAATAAAATCATAAAAAACTGAATTTAAATTTTATAAATTAAAAAAAAAAACATTTAATCAAGTATCATAATTACACTTTTTACACCGATAAACGAATCGATCTTTAAAATGGTCAGTAAATTTTTGCGTGTATCTTTTGCAACCTGTTGAGCGACATTCTTGAGTGCTCCTCGCTGCGAGGCTGCAGATTCGATGCTAACTCCCTTAACCGGACCTGAAGAACCGCTGTACGTCCTTGAACTGGCAGCTGAACTAAATTCCCGTTCTACATTAAGTCCTTGAACAAAGGAAGACTCGATCCGTTGATCTGGTGAAGGGCAGAGATCTGGCAGCTGTATGATCGTTGGATGGTTGGATTGCTGGCTGCAGAGACGTGCCCCTGCAGTGGGTTATTTATAGAGATCGTTATTAGCTCGCCAAGGTTGTGCAATGACCAAAGCAAAGTCTGGCTAAAGAATCTCCGTAGATGTACACACACATCCGATCATTAATCACAAGACCTGCCACTCAAAGCTTGATTACATGAAGAACCCCTGAATAATCCAATCCACTCTACTCTAGTTTGCTTGTCATTAACGGAATGGCTTTTGCATTACACAAAAGAAAATCAAGGGTTAGATGACTGGAAATTAATAAAAAAATGTAAAGCTGCAGCTTAGGAAATATAAAAAAAATATTACTAAACGGAAAACTTTTAATTTTAAAAGTTAGGATCATCACAAACTTAAAATATATCTCGCAAATTGCGTTCATATATTTGCAATATCAATCCCAACTTATTTTAAAACATCCAATTTTTTATCTCTGCAGCTTAAGATTCCCTTCAACGTGTCATTCGCTCTACGTGCCCGTGATCTGGTGGTCAGTATTGGAAAGAAGACGCTGAAGGTGGGCATCAAAGGTCAAGAGCCCATCATCGACGGCGAGCTGTGCGCTGAGGTGAAGCAGGAGGAGTCCGTGTGGGTCTTGCAAGACAGCAAAACCGTGATGATCACCCTGGATAAGATCAACAAGATGAACTGGTGGAGCCGCCTGGTCACAACCGATCCTGAGATATCGACACGCAAGATCAATCCAGAGTCGTCCAAGCTTTCTGATCTGGATGGCGAGACGCGCAGCATGGTGGAGAAGATGATGTTCGATCAGCGGCAGAAGGAGATGGGCCTGCCCACCAGTGACGATCGCAAGAAGCAGGACTTACTCGAGAAGTAAGTATTCGAGATCGCTTTCCATTATATCATTACTTATGTATTACTTTTTCCACTACAGATTCAAGCAACAGCATCCGGAGATGGACTTCTCCAAGTGCAAGTTCAACTAGTTCAACATTCTCAGCTTACTCTGTATAACTTTCGCTTTCGCACTCTTCTCAATCTTTCGCATTTGAAATGTGAACTCTTCTTCATCTTTCCAACCACACAATAAACTAATGCAAGCAAAATAAAAATAATTTGTATAACGTACAACATCTAAAACAAAAAAAAAACCCAGCATTTTAAAATATTTCAATATGTTAATACCAATTAGTTAGTGAAAGCCAAACAGCAAAGCGAAAAAAACGATCATTCGACCAAGAGGATGAAATGGAGGCAATGGCTGGATAAAACCAGCTTGATCTTCTGCAAATGATCGGGGTAATTTCTCGTATTTTATGGCTACCTTTTAAAATTAATTTAAATTGAATTTATTTATTGGACCTGAACATAATCGTGGAACTGGATCGGAGGAATTTCTTTACTTATCTTGAACGGTTCTGGGGGTCCACACCCAAATCCAGATCAGAATTTCTCAGTAGTTCTCTGGGTCAATGATCTGATAAATTTTGAACTCGTTTCCTAAGCCGATCATAAATTTAGTGCGTCTGTCTTGATAAATAGTTTATATGTTGATATGTTAAGATTTAGCTTTTGTATAATTTGTAAAGTGCTAAGCAATTTTTTAATGGCTACGACTAATTTGGCAACTAATTTGTTGTTTTGCCTTTAAAGTTTCTGTTTTGCGTATTTTATTTGCCACGCGCCGTGATTTTTATGTTCGAGATGAAAGCGTGACACGCAGAAAGATTATGAAATAAATAAGGGGTATTTTAAAATATTAAATTAATGTAAATCAGGATCTGTTAAAAAGATTAATACAATGAAAATAGTTTAATGATTATATTAAATTAGTAGAACAAAAATATATTGTAAATCCAATTCTTAAAGTTGCCCAACCGATCATCTCTATCTCTTAAAAACCTAGGGGGAAGTAGAGACATTTGATACGCCCCGTTTAGTTGTTAATTCTCGTAGGTCATTAATTAGATAAAACGTTTTTCGAACCGTGTTTAACAAACCGTAGAAAAAGAAGCAGTCGAACAATGGCAGTGGACCCTAATTAATGAATGGAATGAAACCCCATCGCAATGGGGTGGAGGCCAAAGGAGATGGCTTTGGGATAGTTGTGCGCGTAATCCCCACTAATCATCGTCCATGTGGGTGGCACTGTGTCATGCGATCGTATGCCTCACTTAATTAATTACCAATTAATATCATAAATTACTGTCAGTGGGAACAATACAAATTGCGCAAAAAGTTTGCCAAAATTCGCATTCGTGGGGGTCGAGTGTCCGCTAATGGCCAAAAATAAATTGTAACAAATTGTTTGGCGAGAGGGCGAAAACGGTCAAGAACAAACATTAAACAAGAAAGGAAGCTACCTTCGGCCAGCCGAAGCTTATATACCCTTGTAGATGAAAGAATACTCACTCGGTGCAGTTCCAGGGATTCCAGATTCAGCGTTTCGATTTATTTCAATTTTGTTTTTAAGTAGTCAAGAATCAAAACGCCTACTTCCTACAAAGTTACAATGAATTTTCTTATATTTGATTGGGAGCCTTAAGATATAGTGGTCCGATCCGGCTGGCTCCGACATATGTACTACCTGCAATAGAAAGAAGACCTTCGGGAAAGTTTCATCGCGATAGCTTTAAAACTGAGAGACTAGTTCGCATAGAAACGGACAGACGGACAGACGGACAGACGGACAGACGGACAGACGGACATGGCTAGATAGACTCGGCTATTGGTGCTGATCAAGAATATATATACTTTATGTGGTCGGAAACGTCTCCTTCACTGCGTTGCAAACATCTGACTGAAATTATAATACCCTCTACAAGGGTATAAAAACAGAACACCCGATCAGAACCGGATTTTTGGTTTGAACTTAAAATGTGGAATTTTGTTTGTTATAAATTGGAAAGTACAAAATGCTTTCGGTTTATATATCCGCTTCGGTTTCTGCCTGCTGCCAATTAGAAGGCAACCGGTTGATAAAAATCCATGGGGGAAAGAGAAAGCCCACCGCTGAATGTGGTTAGATAATTTGCAAACTTTTCTGCATCCAGAATGTGAGTCACCCACATCCACCGCCACTAATCGTGCGATTAGGGGGAAATTTAGTTTCGGACGCCCTAGGCGACCCATTATTATAATATTCCAGGCCGCAGTCAGGCTCTATAAATAGCACTCATATTCAAATCAATTGAACTGTTAAATGACGCACGTGATGAATGCGTCTTGTCTGGCCTGCGGTGTCCAGCGGAGAAATCAATAAACATTAAATGTATGAAAAAAGCAAATCAACAACAATGGGGAGCCATAAATAATGAATCCGGGTGCCGGTTGCCTGGGTCTACTGTTGTTTCTGCTGTTCTGTTCTGTTCTGTTGAGTTTTTATTATTATTGTTTCGACAGGCGCAAATTTTTGGTAATTTCGAGTGTTTCCCACATCTCAAACGCGAACGCAAGCCAATACACACGTACACTTACTTATGGCACAAATTATTCCTTTGGGGCGTTCTCAACCGCTTGACGGTCGCGTGGGCCAGTCTATTTTTTGTTCCCATACCTATTTTTTATGCTGGTAATTGCGGCACATTTGTTATTTTTAGCCTTTTCGAGTCTGGTTTCGCCCATTAACTATAGCAGTTGATTTTCGGGGAGAAAGGGTGCGGGATCAGGGCTGATGGCTCTATTGTAAAGGCAGCGTCATGGCGGTCACGCCTCATAAATTCGTCTAGACTCTGGTTCAGACAAAAGACTTAGGCAACGAACTTGCTTCAAAATCTCTGAACCGCTGGAAAGTTTTTTTCCGTTGCTAGGCAAAAAAACCCAAACGCCGCTATGGGCATTTTGTGCTTTGAAGGTCAAGCCTAAACTGCAGTCGCAGCTCGAAAGACGTAAATCGACCAGTTTATTAACCCTTGTGTAATTAAAAAGACATTTTTTAATGGCTAAATAATAAAACTAAATTGATTGTAGATCAATGACTCAATTTTTTTTTAAGAGGATTGCATTTTAAAATGAATTATTTACATCTACAAAGAAAAATATCTTATTGCATTTATTTGTAAAATTTATTAAAATGTCACGGGAAAAAGTAAATGCAGTAAAGAATGCGGTTCGTTAAAACAAATCAACGGAAATTGTGCGTTTAATTAAATCCCCATTGTTCAGTGAAAACCTATCGCTAAGCAGAAAGCATTAATTAGTAATCAATGAGCGGATTTCCCTAACTGAATCATCCATCAATAACTTGTTTTTAAAGAAGTGATATATGTATGGATTTTGCATACTTTTTCCTGAGAGGGTTAAAGTCTTTTTTCGATGTAGGAGAAGGGAATTCCTCTCTGTGGTGGCTGCCTCAATGGGTGTGCGCAGTGCTGGAGGCCCGAACCAGACTGGAACTCTACAAAGTAGCTGACGTTGGTGGGCTTGTCACCCGACGCCAATGAACCATGGAGTGTCGAGTGCTGGAACCACCGGTTGGCAGTGGGCATGGCCATGTCTTGGCCGCAGGTATTGAGATGTGCAGACAGTCGCGTTCGCGGGCGGAGATTAATGTCTTTGGCTTATGGCCATTACGTTGGCCATTTCGTCAGCCGATCGTTCAAGGGTTCTAAGCTTTGCATGTCAATATATAAATATATCCGGCTGCGTTCCCGGACCTGATTCATGCTGCAGTTGTTCTGCTTATACACACATATCTATTTTATTTTATTTAATTTTTTCTGCCTCTGAAGTTGCCTTCACTTTTTGGCTGCCCATTGCCTGCAGGAATTTCCAATTAGCTTTGGTTATCGCACAATTTGTTTGCCTGCCTGGCTGCTGCATTTGCATATCGGGGTGCTGAGCGATTTATCGATGCTATTAGCTTGGTTTTTGGTGGTTGCTAATTTACGAGATCTACCAGTTTGTATCTGGTTAAAGTAACTGCTATACGGCATGGGTTAATAATCCCTAAGTTTATCTCAATGGGATACCAAATAATTAGCTTATAAACAATTAAATACTTATGACTGTGCAGAAGTTTTTACATTAATTTTCGCATAATTAATAAAATATCCGCGTATTTTCCCAAATTTTATTTCCAGCATTTTCTTACTCATTCAGTATTTCTTGTTGCCAACCACCAACTGCTGGAGTGTTGGCCCAAATCGTTTTAGTAGCCAGCGGTATACAGCAGCTGTTCCACCGTTCACCGCTTTGATAGCGATCTATTAATTGGCCATTTTTGGCGAATTATTTTTCGTATTTTTTTCTCGATCTTAATGCTTTGTTTTCGGCTTTATCTTTTGTCTGAATTATGACTAATTTTAAGGTATTTAGAGTGCGGGCGACGACAAATTTATTGTCGATTGTTTTCGGTGGGTATTAAGTGGGAAAATTTGTATTTTTAAGAGCTTATTGCTCATATGTGAAAATGTTAGCTAGCCAAAATAAATAAAATTAATTTTCTGCATCCTCTTTTGGACTAATGACATATTCCCAACTCCTCTAAATTCATTCAGAATATTCCCATGACTCAGTTTAACTCGACTGCTTACTAGCTTATTTTGTGTTTATAAATCAATTTATAAACAAGCCGAAAACCAATGTTTGTCCAGTGGTCATCGTGGGTGGTCGACAATCATTCATCCAAAAAGGAGAGCGGAAGGGGATTCGAAGGGGATTATATGGCCATATAATCAAAGTTATTAATAACACAACAATATCATTTGTTAGACATTTTATGGATTGCCGTTCTTTATGCTGTGTTCATCACCCGAGAATGTTATGTGAAAGGCAGAAGAGCAATCAGAGTGATGATGATGATGCATCTTAGTGAGGGGATTACAATCGTGAATGGGTTTAATGCATAGATATGCAGTCAACGGACAATTAGAGAATGATTTCACTCGATTCAACTTTGAATAGAGGAAGTTCTTGTCCAGCATACTCGGGCTGACAGGTTGCATAAGTAATTTCTGAGTTGCTTGCGACTTAATTGCATAATTTCGTATGAAACGAGCTCTCTTCTTATTTGCCAGATCATTTAAAAGTAATTTAATGAATCTTATTCTGAATTTATTTATTGTTTTTGCCAGTCTTGTTCTATTGAAGAGGTA